TCGATTATGAAGCAGATGTCGCAAAACAGTGCGCTTCATTATTATATAGCTAGTATTTGTAGCCGATATAACGCGCGCTCTGATTGGCTGATTCTAGGAAACTATTTTCCTGTGATGCCCACGGGTCGCACAGGCCTCAACACCAAAGCAAAAAGGCCCTACAATAAGCAACTTATTAACCTCAAAAGTTCAGTCTTTATGCGGAAATCTCAAATCTCAACCTCGCCATATTGACCTCAAGGCAAGGTCTTGGTTTGAGATTTTCCCGTAAAGACCTCAGTACCTTTCGGGATTTTGTCCCACGGAATTTACAAGAAAAATCTTCTTCACACTCCAAAAGAGTTGAGACATTTGGGGGCTAAAAATGGAAATTACTTTTCAAGAAAGCCAAAGATCACCTAACGGCAAGCTCAGAAGGGTAAGATATAGTGCTCAAAGATCAAGTGAATATTAGAAGAAATCTCTTTATTTCATGAAACATAAATCACAACCTTCAAAATGCAACATGAAGGGGCTCTGACCATTTTTGTTGCTGCATGCTCTCTTTCGTGCGAGACCGCATGATTTACGTCTCGGAAATCTGTTTCCCATGTAACATTTTCACAGTTTTACTCTGTCCTTTGCAAGGTTATGACTGTTTCATGTCGATAGATAAAAGGCATTCCTTAAATGCTTTTGATAGATAACTCAGCATTACGTGATGCGTGACAATCCTATACCCCTCAATAGAGCACAACACTTTCTTTACAAACTCATCATTTTATTACTAGCATTACTTTCATCCTAAAGGTCTTGACGTGGGTTCAAATCACGCTCAAACGGATTCCAAGTCACTGAGCGGTTTTCAAAAGTTAATTTACATTTTGCATTTTTAGATCTCTGCAAACGCGTACACCGCATACTCACCGATCACAGGTAACCAGCTTTTTTTAGCCAATCACGTATAACATTAGAACCACACGTGACATGGTTTAGGAGACACTTCCCGCACTTTGCACGGACTGCACGTTTTTGCTGCGAGCTGCGATTGATTTTACGTCGTAAAAGAAGTTCGGAAGGGTCGGTGAACTTCGAAGGCAAAACCAAGCCAAATACAAAATTACACACAAAAGCGCTCTCTCAATAAATTGAAGTTCACTAAAAGATTATCTTTCCGCCACTGATGCGTGTTTGGCTTTGTGGTGTCTATTGAGAATTTCAAATAAGTGGTAGGGTCCAATAATTCGGAAATATTCTCGGGTCATCCGATCGCCCGTCAAAACTACAAGCAGTTTCTGAAGATTTCTTGGTTCCAGACTCTCGCGGAAGTTGACCGCGTATTTAAAAATCACAATGGTTTCCACGAAACCACCCACTCATCGATAAAAGATTATCTTTCATTCAGTTTTATGTCAATATTGAGCCCCCTTGCGATTACATGAAAGTCAAAGTGCATTAAATCGACGAGAGACACCAAGTTCAACGAAAGTCTTTACGACTTTGTTTAATTCGAATTTACATCACAAT